TTTATAGCACACTGACTATAGCAAACAAGTAATAGATGTTCTCTTTTGGCGCGTCGCGTTGGTTATATTTATAGGCATGTGGAGACTTTCTAGAAAATTCAGATTACGTAACAATACAAATTTAAGCGTTTACGTACACACATATATATTGTTGACTCTTACTCTCGAGAATCTTCTACAACTTTGGAGAATAGGCGGGAGTTTTGTAATACATATCTAACACTATAAGCTATGCATGTTTTTGAATATAAACTTAATCTAAATAACCGGTCCGGCATAGCCAGGTGGTTAGAGCACTCGACTCGCAATCTGAGGGTCGCGAGTTCGAATCTCCGTCACACCAAACGTGCTCGCCCTTTTAGCCGTGGGGGCGTTATAATGTGACGGTCAATCCCACTATTTGTTGGTAAAAGAGTAGCCCAAGAGTTGGCAGTGGCAATGTCATAGCCATTGTTAAGATATTAATGTATCAGAAGAAAGACGGCAATATTCCATAATATTATTCAAACATCTACATTAATTTAGGTTACTATATGGTGAATTAAAAAGAACCCCAAAAATTTCATCAATATTATTTAAATATCACCATTATTCGAGGCCTTATGGCATATCCTTGGTTCGCTGATCTAGGCTGTACTGATGAGCCTTGAAAGTTGAATAGGAGAAACTGCAGTGCACAGTAGAGGGTGGGACGAATCAAAGTTGGCTTCTATGTTATAACTTATATTTTCAGTTTTATAGAAATGGAATAACGCTCGTGGCTGTCACTATTATCCTTACCCGGCGTTGCTCGGATAATGCCTGAACAGAGGGCCGATGTTTAGCTATTTTTAAACAGAAAGAATCAAAATTTCGCTTTTCATGTAACAATACACGTGAAATGCATAAAGGTACTATTACTGAAAAGAAAGACGTAATGTTTTCAAACATTCTATGAGTATGAAAGTAGATGGGGGGGGGGGAGATTATGTCTCAAATGTATTTCCCTTTACTAATAAACTCTATGTATGTGTTTACTTTCCCCCGGTTTTGCTTCTGTGATTCAGTCTCAAGCCTTGAGGTTTTGATGAGGTTTTTTAGATACAAACGAACAAACATTCAAATATAATCATTTCCGCCAATAATATGAATTCTAACACTTTTATTCGTGTTCTGTTTTTT